AGAAAAGTCTTTCATATACCTATACCTATATACCTATAGCTGTATAGGTTAATGTCTCTATCTCTTTTTAACTTTCAGCTTCTCTTACAGAGCATCCCGCAGTCATTACCCTTACATATTTTATGCTTGGCATCATTTTTGAAAATTTTCTCTGGGCTAAAATTGAATTTCATATTTGGTCGTTCGTTTTTTGGGACAACATTTTGGCTATGGCATTCGGCACTCAGCTGATAAGCTCAAGAACTCAAACAGCAGCGATCCAAAAAGTGGGAAAAAAAAAAAAGAAATGAAAGCCGAAAACTGAACTGTGTCTGTGTGTGTGTGTGTATAAGAAGTTTTTTCGTAACGGCTACTCGGCAGTTCAAATATCAATTTTTTTTTGTTTTTGTTTTATTGTCAACACCAGCTTCTCATATTGCAGCAGACAGTTGAAAATATTGGCTTGACAAACATTGAGAGGCGTCTAACTTGAAATTTCCTTTTGCTTAAATCGAATTAAAAACTCATTCTGCTTCAATTTGGCTTAGGTGGAAGTTGTTTTTGTCGCTGTTGTTGTTATTGTTGCTGCTGCTGCTGAGTTCCTGTGATCCAGTTAAAGTTCAGCTACGGCCAGTCAATTTTTTCTTTATTGCTTTACTAGCAGAAAATCTGTTTTATTCGTTCTATTTTATTGTTGTTGGCACAAGTAATTTAATGTCCATTGCATTTAAGCTAATATTTGAGTTGTTGTTGTTGTTGGCTTTGTTGTTGTTGCTTCCTTCGTTCGTCTGTTTTAATGCCATTTCTGTATGGCTTTTACGAGCAATTTTATTGCCTTTTTTAATGCCGAACAGCGGCTGGTCACTTGGTAGGACTACATTCGGAAAGCAGTCCAAAAGTAAACACTAAACGCCATCCGCAACCCCCTACCCCCCTAGCCAACTGCCTTGGTAATTGTTGGCCCTTTTGCGTTGCCAATTTCGTGTTTAGTTTACTGCACTAATTTTCAGCCATTAAAGCACGCGGCGTATACGCAACGCCGCTATTTTAAGTATTTTGTACAGCATTACTTAGGGCGGGGACGAGGGCGGCTGACTGAGGGTCCTAAATTACCTTATGTGCATTAACAGGCAAACATCCACACGCATATATACTATACATATCTCTACTCACACACACACACACAGTTTGCCTGCTGTTTATATTAACTCTTTGAGTCACTTTTGTGCATTAGTCACACTTGGCCGCTTGCTTTGTGCCTTTTGCTTTTGCTTATTTGTTATTTGTTATTTGTTATTGGTTTGTTTTCTCTCTTTCTCTTGTTTTTGTTTTTTGTTACGGTTTTTCGTTTCTTTCTGATTGATTTTGGTAAGCTTAAAAGTTATTAACGTACACATCAAAGCCAAAGTCCTTCAAATGTTATGTTAAGTTATTTCAATCGAAACTTGACAGCATTCGTGACATTTTAATGCCCTGTGATGTGTGAGCAATGTGGGTATACTGGCGTGTAGGAAATCGAAGTTTAGATATTACATTTCATATAACGTGAAACTCAGCTGTATGCCTATTATTTATCATTATCATTTTCTTCAATAAAATTTCCGTTAAATTAAATCAATTTTCCTATTTTTTACAGGGTATACCAGCAAACAAAACACTTCTGAAGTTAACCCCTTTTTTCAGGATAGAATGCAGGATTTTTAATCAAATGTTTGCGCATCAAAGCTTACCAACAGCAGCAAAAGGTCAAACCGAACAAATCTTCGCTGGGGCAGTGGGTCAAGCAGCGCCAAACTAATTTGACACTGAACGTTGGCCGCAAACTGTTGGCGCAGGACTGTGCATAATGCTTATTATCCTCGACCAAACAGGCAAAGGCGTTTCAAGCTGCTCTTTCATTTTGTTGCATGCAATTTGCAATCAGCAACAGCAGCTGCAGCAGTAGCAGCAGTAGCAGCAGTAGCAGCAGCATGAGCAGCAAATGCACATTAGAGCCAGTGTTGGAAAATAAACAAAGTGAACTTTGTGTGAGTGACAGACAGACAGGCAGAGAGGCAAAGAGGCAGAGTGGCAGGCAGACAGTTAGTCAAAGAGTCGCAGCAGGATGCTTTGGCCTGCGTTAAGTATGCAACAGTCTTCACACACACACACACACACACCATAAATAGTTAACACTCGCTAAGTGTGTGCGTGTGCGAGTGTGTGTTAGTGTCATGTTGCCTATTATGAATTGTGCAATTGTCGTCAACGCCAACGCGCTTCTACTCAGCTTCTCTGTTGTCCAACTGACTGCACTCACTGTGCTGCTCTCTCTCCCATTCTCTCTCTCTCTCTCTCTCTCTGTCTCTAACCCTCTCTCTATCTCTCTGTCCCTCTGACTTTGACTCTGACTGACTGACTGGCAGCTGCAGTCGTCGCCGTCGCCGCCTGCATTTATCTCTTTCGCTGCTGCCACTCCCACAGCGTCAACGCCCACGCAGCATCATCAGCATCCACATTGTGATCATCGTGCGCTTTGTTTGCACCGCTGACGTACGCTGTCTGCTGTGTTTGCGAGCATTATATGCCATTTTTTTTTTGTCCTTTCACTTGACTTTGCCAAGACCCCTCAACAACAGTTGCTGCTGTTGTTGTTGTTGCAATTGCTGTTGCACTTCTTGTAAATGACTCTTCAACGTTTGTCGTATTTGTCTGGCAGCACTTTAAGTGCCAAATATTTTTACATTTGTTTACTGGCATTGCCGTTGCTATGGCAGTTGCTGCTGCTGCTGCTGCTGCTATTGCCATTTGCATGCAGTGCACACATTTTGACAAATGACGCATGTTGCTTTCTGCTTTCAGTTTTCGGCTTTCAGCTTTCGGCTTTCTGCTAGCTGCCTGCCTTCTGGCAACTGCCTACTATCAAATTTATGACATGGCACTGGCACTAATTAGACCAAGTGCCCAAATCAGAAATCGTCCAGTTAATCAAGCGCACAAGTATTTAATTAAGTGTCCAAAAAATTGCCCACAAACACACTAACTTCTTTCTCATTAACAACATGCCTAGAGATGGGCGAGTATTTGGGTTTCAAAAAAGAAAAAAAAAAATCCAATAAAATTATAGTGTTGTTAAATGCTTAAATGTGCCTTGAATGACATCGTGCAGTGCTTAAAAGTATATCAAAAATTTATTATAAAGATGACTCAAATCTAAGAATGTAGAAACTTAGTCTGAATAAATCACGAGTTTTCAGACTAGTTCCGTTATCAACCTATTCGATATTGGATGCGATAGTTTTGCGACACGATAATTGCACAGCTCTATTCAGTAGTTTCTGTAGACATTTCACAGCTTTGGGCGAGCGCTACAATTTAATATTTATGCGCTTTGTTGGCATCGCATGTCAAGTCATCAAATTGAGAAATGTGAAAAAGCCAAAGAGAGGGAGGGGAAGGGGGAGAGGGAGAGCGAGAGGGAGTAAAACAGAAACTAAAATCTAAAATACGGGCGCTAGTTGAGCTGGCCTAGGGAAAGTATATGTGCTGTCTGTTTGCATTTATCATCAGCGATGGCAATTGACTGACAGCAGCAGCAACAATTGCAGCTGCAGCTGCAACAGCAGCGGCAACAGATTTACATGAACTCATTCGCATTCATTTCATGCGCTCGCATCCGATTGCATATATTAGCAACTGGCTGTGTCTGTCTATATATGACTGTCAGTCAGTCAGTCAATCAGTCAGTCAGTCAGTGAGTCAGTGAGTCAGTCGATTGTCTGTTTGATTGTCAGCTATTCTGAGCTGCGCTCTTTAGCAAGTCCTTTATGCTTATGAATATGCGCAGGCATTTAGAATTGAATCGCCTGATTGTCAATCTTGTGCATTTGATTGAAGGCCTGCCATTTCTGCGCGTGACAACTTGACGAAGCATGCATATCTAATGCGTATATCAATCACGCACTCTTGCCATGGAGAGGCACATCAAAATTTTGAATATTAACTAGAATAGATAAATAATCTCAGAAAGCTGCATTGATTTGTAAGGGAATTAAAATACAAAGATTAAATCCATAATACAAGCTGGATAAATAGGTAAAGGAGAATTTGAGATGTGCAAAATATTATTTTGATTAAGCTGACATATATTTAATATATTGTATCTATATAATAAAATTCACTATATTTTTATTTATATCTTAAAATAATATTATATTATATATATTTTATTAAATTAATTTTATAATTTTATTAAAATTTATGCTCATCAAAAAAACAAAAAAAATAATTAAAAAAAAAAGTATATACATTCTCTGTTAAGATAAAATATTGATATTAGCGAGTATTATGTAGTGGGTAATGCCCAACTGTAATATTTTGAATACTTGCCTTTTGAACCCCCAACTATTTAGCCAAATTCTTACACAATTCCCTGCTTAGAATTTTGCTTAAATTTTATACATCTTTGCCCACTGTGCCTTGCCGTTCGAACTCTAATGCCAACTGACAATTTAATGAAAATACCAAACAATTATGACGCACACTGCGTTAAGTTCCCGAGACTCGTTTCATGCAATGATGATTGGCGAAAAGCAATTTATTGATTGGCAGCTGAGTAAATAATACACGATTAGAGCTTTCCACAACGCTTGAGCTTAGTTAAGTTCGCCTCCATTCAGTTGAGCTGTCGACAATATTTTGTGGGTTCCCATATTCCACTTTAGCTTCCCTTTCTTACTTTTTTGCCATTCCAGCGATTAAGCAACACGCAAAGGTCGCCAAAATACAAAATATTGATTATTGCCCCCGGCTAGACGCTCGAGCAATAATAATAACAAATAACAACAATAACAAGAGCGACCCACACAACTAGTTGGGCTCGGCCGCCCTTCCAAGCAGTTCAATAAAGTGGAACACCGAAAAGGGTTCATAGGAAGTATTCAAGTGAAATTGATTGAAGCTGCTGGCTAAGGCAACTGAACTGGGAACTAGAAAATAAAATGGGAAAAAAAAGAAAAAAAACTGAAACAAAACAAACGAAATTTAATCAATTCGCTTAACTTTAATTTAATCAGTTTAAGTGAAGCAAATATGGAATGAAACCAAAAGTTTTTCTTTGATCAAAGACAAGTTGCTGGCAAAGCTTTACGTGCACATTCAACACCTCATTGGAAAATGCTTTTAATTTTGAGTCCTGAACTTGATGGGCAGATGGGATTACTAAAACATATATATTCTTGATCAGATTGAGTCCAGCTATAACAGTCAGTTATAACATTTATATATTTATCTCACTCTCGTCTCAGCGTCTTAGCTCTACAAGCTAATCTCTTGCCATTCCAGATATATACATATGCGCGCCCTGTCGCCGTCATATCTTCAAGTCATACGTATCACATTCCATTTTCACAAGCTAGACTATGGAAGTTAAAAAGACTTTATTAGAATAATGAATTCCAAAAGGGGAACGACAAATTAATATGTTATCTGAAATTATTACAGCGTTCTACTCGGCACATGATTATCAATTTTCTGCTCTTCACTTTGCCAATTTTCTGAGGATAAGAAATCGATGAGCAGAAGTGAGGGAAATTGTATTTGGAGAGTAGTGGAAAATACGTACAATTCGAATAGTGGTATAAAAAATAGGCACATAATGCCGTTACATATATGGCAAACACCCGCCAATAATCCAAAAACACCTGCTATATAGAAATAATTTGCCGTTGCACTGCCACAGTGATCCTTCATAGCGTAGAGCAATATGCTAGCAGCAATTAACAGCAAAGTTCCGCAGGTCAAGTTGAATATTATGGACTGCAATGGATACAATATTGATTTTAAAGAATGTGTATCAATTGCATAGGAATACTCACGCACAATTGGGTCCAGGCCCAGACTGCTACAGAATATTCGATATATTGCCAAAAATATCGTATGTAGGGTAATGCCTGGTAAAAAATATATGAGGAACCATATTGAGACACTATACTCGCCGCCCAGGACACAGTGCGACTGAAGCAGCTTGACAATAAAATAGATTGCGAACAGTTCGAATAGCTGTTTGAATATACATATTGATTGATGGATTGATTGTCATGCAGGAGTAAACTTTGGATCAACTATTTTATTGATTAAGTGGATTTCTGGTGCGATCTTTGCCTAGCTTACCGCTGAGATAATTGTTAATGTCCAATTTGCGACACGAAAAACTGTCATACTGTGAATTTTGTAATCATTGATGCGACCGCCCACACAACTGGGGATAACAACGACAGGCCCCCTTCAGATCCTGCTGAAAAATACAAACAAAAAACAAAAAATGAAATAAAATAAACATAAATAAGCCAAACGAAAACGAAAAGGGTTCCATTGCCGACACCGTTATTGCCCCAGGACTGACCTCGTTTGGCTGGGGGGTAAGTCGTATCGCTAATTTCATTAGTTGCGGAATGCGATGCGATGATTTCATGCAATTTAAAGCCACATTTTTCAGTCGCCTGGCATTTAGCATACTCGTAATTGTAGACGTGGCCCATACCTGGGCCCAGCGCGTCCAGAGACCCGGCCGAGAGCCGAGAGCCGGGCCCAGCCCAGCCTAGCCAGAGAACTCAACCCTCAGGCTTTTATAATAATTGCCTGTTGACACGGGATGGCAATGGGGTCCAGTTAGCAGACGGGTCAGGTGGGAGGTGCCGTGGTAACGTTTTATGGCCCTGATAAATGAAATTTCAAAACGAAGCCAAAACAAACCAATGGAAAGTGTTTTAGTTGGGCATGTGCAACTAGAAGATATCCTGTGCCAAGCGACGCAGCCTAAAGCTGGTTCAAAACTTCTTTTGGTACATATCCAGGAAAATATTTTTGCTATAGCTAAAATAACTAAAGCAGCACGAACACAGCAAATTTGATGATTGTAGCTCTTATAGTTCTCGAGTAATGCCTGAAAATAACTTATCGTCTTATCCAAAAGTGTATAAAGCTACTACTGGATCCTAGAGCAATACATATTCTCAGTGAACGAGCCGTACCTCTTAAATTTCCCAAGCAATGCTCAAGAAATCGATTTTTTGGTGGATTTAGAGCAAAATTTGGAAAATAATTGAACATGTCTAAAATATTATTTACAGAAATTATTATCATGGCTTACCTTATAGTCGTAACACATAGTTCTCGAGATAATTTTGAAAAAATAAGATTTTTGGATTTTCAATGAAGTCACAGCAGAAAAGGTGTGTAACTGTTTCAAAATATGTTTTACTGATGGAGATAGAAAAGTAGTTTTCGACTTAAATAAAAAATAGAGTACTTCTTCAACAAACACATGATACCCAAATACATATACCCATGCCTCCGATGTATAACAATGAAAGGCAATATATAACAAGGAAAGTGGCCGAAACATAACTTGAATCAACTATAAGCCCAATTCTACCCTCAACCCAGCCACGACTTTACTAGCTGTTCTTGCTACTTCTATACCTTTTTCTCTCTCTTTAATTTTGCTACTATTCGATGACAGCTCGACACTTTGCTCATTAAATAGCCAATTTCGTATCGATTTTTATTAAAAACAAGATATTCTGCTGTGGCCTAGAAAATTTAAAGCCACGACAATTGCAGATTGGACCGCAGGGCAGTCAAAACTAGTACGTCAGGATATTGTAAGAGACTTGGGCAAATTTATGGGCAAATTTTCAAGCAGCAACTTTTACAGGCTTATATATACGCCGGGAGAGCTCGTGGAAAAGTATGTGCAATCCCAGGCGCATCCAAAGTGGAATGAAAGAGAATGAAAATAAAAAGCAAAAACTAAAGAAAAATACCAAAGAAAATGCGTCAAGTTATGAGATGACGAAGTGTAAATACGCTTTCATAAAAGTATAGAGATATTTGTTTACTGTGCACTTCAGAGAAGTTTGAGAAGATGCTGACTGAAGAGTTCTGATAAGTTTTTATTAATTGTTTCATATAAATCCGAGGAAAGGAATTTAAGACTGTAATTTATTCAAAGCTTTGACATGTTTTTCAAAATTAAAAAGTGTAGCATAGCAAATGGAATATGGAACTATGATAAAGCTGGAGTCGATCTTTCAGCTGCTTGCAATTATAATATATACTATAGATCTATCCAAAAATCCTCAAATCGATATCTTATGCAAAAATCCCAAAATTTGTCATCGATAAAAATCGATGCATCCCTACGAACTAAAACCATCTCTTCCTCTTCCAGAATTTTATTTGTCAAGCAAAATCTCTACCTCTTACCGTTGCATATTCGATGGCAAATTGATCATGGCTGAATGCAAGTGCATGGCAAAAAGGAAAGTCGACGCATTTGCCTTGTTAAAACAACAACGGAAATGTAGGCTATGATTTGCTTACTTGCCAGGACATTTGCTCTGTAAAAGTGCTGAAATATGCACAAACAACTATGTATAGGTATACATATGTGTATGCGAATGTGTGTGTTTGTATGCTTGTGTTTATATTGGAACTTCATGACCGTTACACACACACACACATAGTCACACACACAATGAAAGCTTACATTGGTGTTGCTTGAGAGTTGAGAGCGCACATAAATCAAATACATGTAAAATTTTGTGCTTTCCGCACACATATCCTGCGCCAGAGCATTGGCCATACACGCAGGACATCATACGCTTACTTTCTCTGTATATGTGTGGTTTTCTGTGTCTCTCTGTGTGTGTGTGTGTGTGCTTGACTCTGTGTGCACTGTGTTTTGTGCGCATCCGTTAACTTTGTCATTTTTGCTCATTTCCTTCCGGTATGTGCAAGAAAAGTGCAACAAAGCCAATGACAACAACAACAAAAACAAAGTACAAGCCAAACGATATAATTCCCAGCACTGCAGCGCTGCACCACTGCATCACTGCACCACTGAGCCGCTGAGCCACTGACAGGCCGTAAGAAAGCAAACAACAAGAGATGAAAGCAAGCTAACAAAACAACAACAACAGCAACAACAACAACAACAACAAGACTATGCACAGCGGGAACAGCAGCAATAAGCTGGGGGCATAACTTGCTGTAACATACACACACACACGATAACCACCCCGCCCCCCCCCCCCCCACACACACACACACAGTCGCACTCAGTCAAGAAATTACTAAGACATTGGGCTTGCTATAAACTTTGCAGCTGGAATTTAATTATTTTGCAGTTGCAGCTGGAGCTTGGGCTCAATTTTTTGCACATTAAACACAATATATGTAATACACAATAGCTGCCAACAGATAGCAGACCACGCCCCCTTACAACTGTAAAAGCTGCCAAAATAGCAGCATTTGCATGTGATTTCGCTGGCATTTATTTCAGTCACACGCTGAGCTTTCTTTATGCAAAGTCAAAATCGTAAATTAGTAAACAAAAAGAAACTAATGGAAAGAAAGCGGGTCTTATAGACAAGATAGTACTCTGTTAGGAACATTTATTACATGAAACACATCAACATGAAACACATCATGTGAAACCTTAACTTGCCCTTGGAATTGAACAAAATGCTCTAAGACCCATCGTATCGGTTCTAACAGACTGAAGCATACTCTGTTAAGATCACTTATCAAATGAAACATATTATATAAGACCAAGAATTAGACAAAAGACCACCTCGTAAGTGGATAAAACAGACTGAAGCATACCCAACACTTGTTTGCTGAAAAGGTTTATATAATACCTTGGTATTCATGTTGCACTAAAGAAGTTACTTAGAAATATTTAAATTGAATTGATGAGAAAACTATTAAATAACAGTTCCTAAAATAATGAAAGTTCAGTATGCCTATCTAATACGTTGGTTTCCTAATGAATTGGAGAGTCTTCTCTATGCTGCATTTAGAAAACACTTTCACAGAAAAGACAAAAACATCCCTATTTATTTTGTAAACTTATATCAAGCTTGAAACCAGAAATTAGAGCTCATATCATTATGATCGCTGCCACATTTCACAAAACCAATATACTCTATATTTCATTCGATAAGCGAGACTCAATCAACAATCCAACAAACAATCTTTGTCAAGCAAAAATAGTTCTATTATAACTTTACTTTTATTTATTTTGCTTAAGAATTCGGCAAGAGCTTAAAATATTTATTTCATTTGGTACAATTGCTTATATGCTTAAAAAGTTGCTATGGGTTAAGTCATTTACAAAAATAAAGCTCTCTAAATACATATATATAAAGTGAAGTTTATTGGAGCTGTTGCATAGCAGCTTTGCTGCGCACTCAAAGCCAGCCGCGTTGACTGAAGGCAAAGCTACTACATGCAACTAATTAGCATGGCTTGTTGAACTTTTTCAAAAAACCAATTAAATCTCTAGAACACACACACACAATCACACAGAGACACACAACTTGGTAATGAAAAACACATGTGTGTGTGTGTGTGTGTGTATGTGCGAGCCTTTGATCAGAAAAAGTTTCGCGTCTAAAGAGCAACGAATACCGTCAAACGCGTCAAACAACTTTTGGAAAAAAAAAGTATTTTTTAATAAAAAATACATACATATGTAATAAATATATAAGTATGTGTGCATGTGTAGGTGCAATGACCGCCTCTTAACTTTGTCGCATGGGGAAAAGAAATTAATATCAAAATAAAAATTACAAACGACAAATAACATTATTAACGTGAAATTAAACTTTGCAAATTTGTTTGCCAACGCCGTCAGACATGGCATAAAAAAAAAATAAAATAAAACATACTTGACAGAAAGCTGAAAAATAAAATTTAAAAAAAATTAACAGAAGGTGACATTTGAAAACATTTTCTTATAAGCGGAAAATTAGCTTATGAGGCGAGAGCTGCCAAAGGGTTTAGGAAGACATATAAGCAGAATGTTAAACTGAATGTTATATAAATGTTGGATCTCAAACGAATAATATAAATATTGAATTACGCATGTCCTCATAGTGTAATAGATTATGAAAACATGATTTTAGAATTCAAGCATAATATAACAAAATATTGTGTATTTAGATAAGAGAGATTTTGAATTGCTTAACTCTCCAACTGTCTGAAAATACCAAAAATATGTTTGAAAACATTAGAAACTGCCCATGAAATATGAAACGAAGGCCAGCCAGACTTCAAAGCAATGGCTCAAAGACATAATAGGCTACCCTCGCAGATGCTCAAACATATAACATATAATAAAGTGAAATGCGTGTGGCATGGGACAGCCGGGCAGAGGGGCATCGGCTGCAACTCTACCTATGCAACTTTCC